CATTGGTGCTGTAGCTATCATATTCCTCCTGACTTGATATTTAACACTGGTTTTCCTGAGTTTCTGGTTTTCCTAGTTTAGAAATCGCGTATAAATTAGTTTGGTTGATTATTTAAATATGGCAAAGCACATGGAGACTATCTACCTGAGGGAAAGAATGCCTTCATCGAGCCTTTTTCTAAGGAAAAGTGGCTCGTATTCACGTTGCACATAGAGAAAATCACGAAAGCCATTCAGCCAGCTCATTCGCCTGGGTTGGTTCCTGGGGCAAACTATCAGCAGTCTTTAACTGCTCGCCCACTTGTGAAACGGCTTAAATTAAGAGCCAGGTTATTAGATTTATAAAGCATCTTATGTTAATTAACCAATTATTATGATTTAAGTCTTTACTACTCCTTTTCGTATTCCTCGACAGTAAATAGATTAGCTTTGTGTGTATTTAAGCTGAGGGTTTTGAATCTTTAAATGAGAGAGATTCTGGCAATCGCCCTTTGCTACTTGTATTTTTAGGCAGCTCTGTTTAAAAATACTAACAGAAACACACGATTGCCAGAAGCTCTCTCTACTATAGATTCAAATCTCTCAACTTAAATATACACAAAGCTAAATATGTAACACAAAACAGTTTCAAAAGCGAGTAATATATATATATATAGTGCACAAAAGGGAGGATGATTGCGGATATGGTACTTATGTATTAACGCAACCACTATAGTAGAAGTTGCCAAATTTTCGGAATGTGCCAAAGTCTGGCAAATATGTGCATAACCATTTTTCCGGCAACTATGTTCATAACAGTCCTTTGAGCCAAGCACTGCCGCCATTTTCGTATGTGTTCTTTTTTGATATATTCCAAGTTCCAATGGTTTTTATAACAAAATCGTGATTTAAAAAAATTTTTGATTTAAACAAATCGTGATATTTTTTGCCTTAAACTTAGTTTTAAAATATCAGCTTGTGGACTTTGCCAGCAACGGAAGAAACTGTGTTAGAATTTCTGCAAGAATACAGAATTTTGCTGAATTTTTCTAAAGAGAACAATGACAAAATGCGTTTCCTAGACAACCGCGGTTGCCAAGATTTGCACGAAGCCGAGTCTCCTCAATTCTGTGATGATTTTTAAGCAGAAACAGATCGCTGTATACTTCGGGAGAAGAACAGTGCAGACAAATTACAGAAAGATTTGAATAAGAATGTAATTCTTTTATTTTTAATGCATCACGTAATTCTTATTTAATAATTCAAATTTGTATTTTAAATTGCTAAAATATGTTTTCTTTTCATATGTTGATAATGTTTATGGACTTACGATAAATATCGATAGTTTGGGAATTTTTCTAAATGAAAGACGTGAAAGCCATCAACGTGCACTCTATAAGTAACTCTTACATTTTGATCCGTAAAAAATCGCTAAATTGCACCAAGATGGTTGTGTCAGTACGTAAGTACAGCAGATGTATCTGCAGAATGCCTCCATTCATTAAGGTTTCCTTGAAGCAATAAGCCATTAAGAAGGAAAATTGAAGGCATTAATAAAATAAAATATTTATTTATTTAATTATTTTCAATTATATATTTAATTTGCATAAAATTTAGTCTTTTTTATGTTATACTGTTGGATTTTTATGATTTGATAAATGGAAAATTTGAAAACTTATTAAGAAATTCGATAATATTTTAACAAACTAAATGTAGGATGATAAAATCGTATAAAACAATGACACAGTGATAAAACCATAGAAAATTTTTGTGTGCATATCATTCTAAATTAAAATGTAGATAACATAATTTTCTCATTTATGGTATCTTTTCTGAATGCCACATTGAAAGATCTGTGCTTTACGGTATTTTCTCTTTTAATTCAGAATGTAGTTTTCAAAGGGATGGTGACGAATATTGGATGACAAAGCATTCATTCGAAAGAAATGCTATTCAAATAAATAAAAACAAATTAGAAAAAATACTTAAGTGAATAAACGCGTTTAAAGATTTAGAGTATTTATTTATTTTAATTAACCAGCTATTTTATGTTAGTGATCTTTGCTGTCTTTCTCGCTTTCCTACAAGAATGCTAATTTTTAGTTTGCGTGTATACAAATAAGGTAGAAAAGAGATGGTATTTAAAGGAAAGTTTTTGATGGTAGAATCAGAGCGTGTTCCACTTGCTGAAGACTATGTTACTAGTTGATTCTCTTGATAGCAGTGTATTTGCTGCGTTGCGTTATTCTCGTCATTAGGCTTGCCACGCAGATATTAGGTCTGAGTCAACTTGGACATTTTCTGTCTGTGCAGCCTTTGGGTTAACTGCAAATTTACTTAGTCAAGTTCAGTTCTTTACTTTTGATTTACGCCATGAATGCTGGCTGGTTCTGTAAGCACAAGCTGTGACTTCTGTTGAATTATCTGATTTTAAAAAAGTTTTTTTTTTTTTAACACCCTTTCCAAGTCTCTGTTGTAATTTCCAAGATATAAAGAGAAGTCGCTTAAGTCTTCAGTGTTTTCATTCAGTTCATTTTACGAAAGAGCGTGAGACTCTATAAAGTATACAATGCGAATAAATAAATAGAAATTTTTAAAGTAACTATTTCAAGAATTATAGTTTAACCACGCAACTCAAATAAAAAGTTTCTAAAAAAATTCAAAAAGGAAAAAAGAAGCAAAATTTCTAAAAAGTGAAAAACTGTCTGAAAATAACAGCTGTGATTAAAAAATATAATATGAAATGAAAATGTACGGGAGAAAGAAAAAATAATACTTTTTTTCCGCACGCAAAAAATGAAAAGGAAATTGAAATAGGTTGCCGTAATCTGAGAAGTTCGCCAAGTGGCACAAATTAGAAAAAGTTCGCCGAACTAAATTTCCGAATTACTGATTTCGCACCAAATTTGGTTTTAGGCATAATTTGAGTCGTAAAATCGAAATATTGGTAAGTCATTTCAAAAAAAAGATGTCTGATTTTTGTATCACTTTTTATCTGGTTTTGTATTTGGGTATGTTAGAACAACGCTGTATGTAAATCTAATTTATATCCGAAGTCGCACTTTGGAGGCATGAAAAAAGCAAAGTTGAATTTCGTCAATTGGCCTAGTAAAATGGGAGATATAGAACTGTCCCAACTTTTTTTTTTTTTTTTTCTGAGTGAGTGCACATACAAGGAAACGCCTTTAAGATGATGGCTCTCAGTTCTAAACGATTCTGATCTTCTATAGTGGTGATCGGCTTAGAGAACTTTACTATGGCTGCCGCTCAATACAGTTGTTTAATCAGAAATAATGATCATTTTCAGAAGTGCTCGCTGAGAACGCTTTCGCTGTATATTTATATATTAACACTTTTGCGCGGATATATAGGTTGAATTTTATCAATTGTCCCCACGTCAATCTCTCCCCCCCCCTTCCAGAGACTGGAGTGAGGAAAATTGATAAAATGAGGGATATTCAAGGTCCTAATTACTGTAAAGGCGGTTTCGCGGGGTCACTTCAGTCACAATCGCCCGCTTTCCAAAGAGCTCCCAAACAATTGATTAATTTTTTTAAATAGAAAATTGCCTTAAGAGGCCTCAAAAGTTTCACCTGAGGTGGGCTCTACATTTCATAAATTTGCTTTATGTTTACAAGGGCCAGGCCAGTGCTTGATTTTTAAAATCAGAAGTGCGGGAGACCTATGGGAGGGCATCAAAAGCGATCAACAAAAATAAGTAAATAATATATACAATATAAAATAGTTAAGATTAAATAAATAGGGTGCAAATATATTAAATAATTAATAATGGTACTGGTGTGAAGCGGTTAAATTAAAATTAAGTAACTTGTTTTTTTGTGTTTTTTTTTATAAATTAAAAGTGTTAAAAATCTAGTAATTCACTTGTAACAAGACATAAAAAAAAAAAAGCATTCTTCATGGTCGGAAAATTTATTGGTTTTTTAGTTTCTAATTTATCATAAGTTTTCTTAACCATATGAATACAGATAATAAAAGTTTCACCTCTTGAAGGGTTTTGTATTAAGGGATTTTTCCTCCTCATCTGTTTACAATTTCTCAGTTTTTAATCTAGGAAGATATACGCTCAATATCTAATGCCATTATAAATTTTATTAGGTGTTAAACGAAACTTTTGCCGTAATAACCGAATTAATTTATCAAAAATGAGATTTATATTTATACAAGAAAATATCGGAATTTGTTGTATTTGAGGCTCCTGTGCACTCTATTGCAACTATTGTCCAACTGGAAAACTGAGGCATACCTAAGGCTTAGGCTAAATTTAAGACTAGAATTCTTAGCATTTAGAGGGCTCCAAAATCCTCATATAATCCTCCCTCCCCAATAAAAAATGTGAAGCGAGCAATTCAAGAGCTCTCTAAAAAAAAAAAAAAAAACACGTCGCATTGGGCCCCAAGCTATCTTAATCGGATCGCGGGTATGCTTTGCATTTACTAACGCATTCAGATGACGTCTTTTCGTCACTGCCTCTGTATTACATATAGCTATACACATTCTAAAACACGCTTTTGGAGAATACTATGTAATAATACAGATACAATGAAGCGCACCGACCATTTCGTCGGTTAAAGCCTTTCCCCTCCTTTCGCAGTTTACTTAGCAAAACACGGCTTACGCGCATGCGCTAAATGCGTTTATAATGAACGGCAAGTAATCGAAACGTAGACAGAGATTTTGGACACCGGGAAGGAATGACAGTATAGCAGAAGAGAGTGTTTGCTAGCTCCCTAGCCGAGCTCTCTCAGGCTTATAGCTGGCTTTTAAAGCTTAGCTAAATTGACAGGTTAACATCGGAATTTAGATTCCTTTTACTGTATTAGAAGGTAGAGTGAAGAGGAAAGTATGATATAAGCGATCCGTTTTATTTTAAAACCGTCGTAATATTCAGTTAATTTCCTTTCCTTTCAGTTTACCAAATTTGTATCAGAAGTCCGTTATTGGCATTGTAGGACATTATTTATAAATTTTTCTTTAAAATTTATTTATTCTTACGTTAGAAAAAATGAAAACGAAGTGGAAGGAAAACCGGACGTGGGGAAAACGCCGGGTGAAAACTGGAGATTTTTTATACGTTTTTTAACCAAAAGTCCAGAAGATACGGTTACTCTTCTGTTGTTGGATACTCCCCAGAATACTCCAATTGGAACTCCAGGATCTGACATTATCTCTTCTGGTAAGAAGATTATATTTTATGTAACTTAGTTTCATTTTAATGCAGAAGATTTAATTTTGTAGCTTCATACTGCAACTTTCTTCGAAAAGGGTGCGTGTTTTATCGGCGAAAAAAATCATCTGTTCCGGCTGAAGAGCGGCGAGTTCCAGCGTGTATGTTTATGTCCAGTACATGCACGCCTATGTTAAAATGTATAGTTTTCCCCGTAACAAGGTTTTCTTTTCCCATTTAGGAGCGCGATTTGATTGTTTATATGCTGATTGGTGGCATTATTATTGATGTGTTATAATCTTGTATATAGTGGGATTTTGGAGTATTATTTTTATTTATTCAAATCAGTGTCTTATACGTAACATTCAATATTAATTTAACAAATTATAATATATTCTGAAATTGCAAGGTATTTTTAGTTAATAAATACGTTCAGAAGTTTTATTTTTTTTAAAGCCCAAATAAAGATGCTAGAAAAGTTTAGTGTTTAGTAGCATAGCATTTTACTAACAGAGCAATTAAGTGATTTATATTCCAGCTTCGTATAAATTAAATACTGTTACAATTTCCCATGCAAATCTAGTAGGTTTTTATGGTCTATTTAACTGTGAGTTAAATAGGCATGGTCTGTTCTAGAGTAGTTTTTCTGATGTTAAATTTTTCAATAAGTAATTGTCACTCTTGATTGAAAGTGCAAAATGTAATCAGAAATATAGTTGTAATTGTTTCTTTATTTAGTGCATGATGTAATATGTTGTAATTAAGATTTCACTTTTGAAATGCTATGATAAAGATCATTCTTTCATTTAATGCATGATGTAATATGTTGTAATAAAGATTTTACTTTTGAAATGCTAGGATAAAGATAGTTGATTCATTTAGGGCATGATGTAATGTGTTGTAATAAAGATTTTGCTTTTGAAATGGTTAGGTAGAAATGGTAATGGTATTTTGCTTTTGAAATGGTTTAACTATAGCTATTAATTGTTATATTTTTCAGGAATTTGTGATAATAAAAATTTAATGATAAAAGTTCTTCTTAGATATAAATGTCAGATGCATCTTAATATGACTTTTATTAAAATTAAAGTATGTTGGAAATTTTAACCATGTTAAAAGATGGACCTTTTCATTGTTAAATTTATAATAGTAATTTATCAGATTTGATCTCTATGTAAAATTTATAATAACTGTTTATCAAATTATGTATATTATTTGAAGTATGAGAATTCAGATATTTTTTCTTAAAGATTTCTTCATTAAAGATGTAGTTTAAAACATATTATCTGTTGTTGCATTAATTATTCTTCCAAGCTAGGTGTTACTAGATTGAAAGTATACTATGATTAAATTTAGAAAATCATGAAAACTTTAAATATTTTTGTAAATTACTTTGTTAGAAATATATGCTGATCTCTCACACATGTAACCAGCCTACCAGTGAACACATTATTGTATTACCAAAATAATAGTTTAGTGTGATGGTTTAGGAAATGTGACTGAGCAGAAAATGATCATCCAACACTAGCTATGGTTAATGCCATAGCACTGGGTTTCTGTTCCTGATTGTTGATTGGGAGTGTAAGAGGTATTTAAGGCTTTTCTTATATAATATGTAAATATAGGACAGTTTCTTTGAAAGTTTTTGATGGAAGCATTTCTTCTCTTATGCAAATAACTAGGCAGTTTTCTTGACATTCCATAATCCATTTCAATCCATAGGAAAATGTATAGAAATGTAGTTTCTAAGCCCCAGTTTATTAAGTGAAATTCTTAATGAGCCAATTGCAGATTTGCTTGCGTATTGTGCAGAAAGCCATTCTAATTTATATATAGTCTTTCTAATTAACAAAAGTGTCTTTCTAATTAACATAATGAATAACTTATATTAACCTCTCTGTATGTTAAAAAATTGTATATTCATTGATTAATTAGAAGATGTCATCTTAAAATTGTACACTCAATAATTCATGTACACTTATTTTATAAAAGCCATGGCAACAATTGTTGCTTTCACCTAATTTAAATATAATGTAGTATACTTCATAGATTCTAAGATGCACCTTTTTCGCATGTAAACATTGCAAAAATGGGAAGCATCTTATAATTGAAGATTTTTGTTAATTATTCTTAAGTGACAATTTTTCAAAATTCCTTATTTAAATTGGTATATTGTTCTTTAATAAATCCTAAATCAGTAATCATAATAAATTAGTAATGATAAGTTAGTTAATTGTTAAATTTATTTCATGCATTTTATATGCTTAATGTCTTTTTTTCTATTGGTAGCATCGAGCACCTTGGAATAGAGGAAATAAATGATAATTATTACATCCTTAATTTTGATTATAATTATTTAGATCCTTAATTTTGTGGTTTAGTTTTAAGTGATTTAGGTAACTATGTTACATGTGGTTATTCTCATAAAAATAATGTCTAAACAAGTCCATAAAAATTCCATGTATCAAAGAGTTGGAAAAAGTCTGTATACTAAGAGCATTAATACTGTAAGCAATGAAAATAGCATGCATTCCATTTTCTTCTCTCACCAATGTCTTCATTTTGCATGTGTGTGATGTCAGTTCAATCATTGCTTACATATGTAAATTTATTAATATTTATCTGTAGGTTAGCAAATGATGATGCTTGAGCATTATTTCAGACATTGGAGATAGTTTTTATTTAGATAAATAAAAATAAGCTAGATGAAGTCCAAGAAAAAATGGTCATGAATTCAGCATATTGTTGTTAAATTGCAGATCGTGCAGACAAATAAAAAAAAAAAAAAAAAAACCTTTATTGTTTATAATTGTTAAATCTTTATTTATGGCAGCTGATGTGATCATATATTTATGATCTACTGGTCAGTTTTTTTTTCCTTCTGTAAGAGTAATTTTGGATAATAAAGATTACAGTTCTGGTACTTTGTATGTTTGATACTTATCAATGTGCAAGCTTGTGTTACTTCACTGAATGACAGAATTGTAATGCTATAATTTGTTTATGCAATTCTTAAAGGTAATTCAAACTTCCTTAACAATAGTTAATTACAAAATATTTGCACACGTTAAAAATGATTTATTAAAACTTTGTATAATACAAAAGTAATCTATTTTTAGCGTATACTGTTGTACATCTTAAATCTTCAAAGATGTTACTGATGGATATGAAGCCTTACTATATAGATAATGAATGGAGAGGTCTTGAGTCATAACAGTATTAAGCTGTTCTCAACAAAAGTAAGAACAATGCTTATGGTCTGCTATTCTTAACAAATGAACTTGTGGAGGATATATTAGGTTTTATTCATATTTACTTTTGCATTGTTTCAGTCAACGTATAGCTTATGTTCTTGAAATCATTAAAAAATGTAAAAAAAAAAAAAGGAAATGAAAATGGTGAATTGCATTTAAAAATGTATAATTAATTCTAGCCTCCCAGTGGGGTAGTGGTTAGTGACTGTCTATCATATCACTAGGGCCCAGGTTCAAATCCCAAAGAAGGCATGGGTGTTTAAATGTGTAGTGTCTTTGCAACATGTAGGCACTCGGACATATGGCAAGCTGAAAGTCCTCTTTTGTGGTTTGGTGGTAGAGGAAGAGGTGTGGGAGACCCTTGGATTGCCTCCTTTGAGGTGCTCTTCCTCAAAACAGGGGGAGAACTAGGCAAAATTATACTGTCATCTAAATGGTGCCCAAGGCTCTTGCCAATGACAGATGTAAACTTCTTACCATGGTAAAATTCATGCGCTTGTCCACATTAGATCTGACAAGTGAAATTAGTCAGAAGACAACAGCAGCATAAGGATTTAGTTGTACAAGAAGCTGGAGGGTATGCAAAAAATTTTCTTTTATTACTGAAGAGCTGCAGCATTACTTTTTATATTCGAGTGGTTTCCGAGATGGGTGAAGTTTGAAAAACATTGCTTCTTTGTGTAACTTGGTATTTCATGTCAATTATGTTATTTAAAACTCACATAAAATTAATATATAGTTTTTTTTTTAATTTTTTTTCTTTCATGTATTTACTATACATGAAAGAAACCTTAACTTGAACCTAATAGGATAAGCCCAAAAAGTGTTTGACAGTTGACATTTGAGTTATTGAGAGTCTTACTAATGAAAGTTTAACATATACTGCTGTTGAACACTACAAATACTGCATTATGCAGGTTGTATCATATTTGTAAAAATGTCTTAAAAAAATTTAACCTAGAATAAAAAAATTTTTATTGTGACTCATAAGTTTACTACTACTATTGCTGATAACATCATTAGAAGTATAACCTTATTATATTAAGTTTCATAAGAATAAATTTAATTTAAATACAAATTTAATTAAATATTCTTTGTGCCATTGCTGCAAGGAATGAAATTTAAATTTTAACAAACACATATAAAAGTAAAAAAGCAAATTTAAAGCCAAAATAAAGAAAAAAGGCAAAATAATTTTTTAAAAAAATGTGCAAACATATAAAAGATTTAATTCTCGAACTAATCTACAATATCTTTTAAAAAGCATAAGTAAATCAAGTGCAAAACCAATCCATGAAAATAAATTCACTAATTTAGCAAATTAAAATTAAACCAAACAATTTATTAAAAATGCATAAGTGAATGACTGTTGAGGGGGACAGACTTATCAAGGGGAAGTTGCCTCCAAACCTAACTCCTCCAATCATTCAATTCGTGTTTCGTCATTCATGCAGGCAGGGTAAAAGTCAAAACCAAAAGTAAAAAACACCAATACCAATAAAGTGGTACCCTTAGAAATTAGCATTTAAGAATTAAAGTTTTAAAAGGAAAATACTAATGAAGTCTTTGAGAAACAAGCAAGTAAAGTCAAGTATTAATTAAACTTTTTTTAAAAAATTAAAATTTTTAAAAAATTAATTTTTTATAAAAAATAATCTAGAAACCAATGTATTTTAGAAACCCTTGTCTACCAGAAACCTCCCCAACACGAATATGCATATCAATAAAAAGAAACTTAAAAAAAAGAACTAGACA